CAATATATATATATATATATATATATATGTGAAAACCCTTCCCTTTCAGAATAGGTGTATATATATTTTTATATTTGTCCTGATATCATTTCCTCATTATTGAGATCACCTGGATATAAGAGAATTGTATCAATCTTGTTATGGAAACTATCTGTTGTACTATAGTATAAATATGATTGGCTGTACCATTTTGTTATCGCTGTTATGATTACACTCATGACTATTACCTGGTTATCGTTCTTTAGTGCCCCATTGAAGACCATTTTATATTTATTATTGAACTCAGAATGTACAGTATGGACTGTGTTTTGTTTCTACCTTTTATCGTGGGACCAAGTATAGTTGGCACTTTCATTTAAATGTTGCAATAAATATTGATTCATGTGTTTTATTCATAGCCGAATATGATTTCTTACCCTGTCGGAGAAAGTGAACCTAGAGAAGAACTCCAAAACTTGTAATCGCAACTATAAGTACAATTATTACTCCACTACTACGTTACCTGACTTACATATGTACTCTCGTTTATGTAAGTATTTATGATATCTTAATACAAGAGGCTTGTTTATAAAACAAGGATAAAAATGCAGTTTTAGAGTCACAAACTGACACACTCGTTTCGTACGGCAAAAGGGTGTTGTTGTACTATCAGGTCTCTGCACGTTAGGTGTAGAACTGGACGTACAGTTGAAGACAGCATTGCTCGTTGCACCTCAGAGGTTTGTAAAGTAGTCTGAAAAGCCATTTCTAGCTCTGCAAAGCAACGCTATCTTTTACTGAAGCCTACCAAAGCACGCAAACAGCTCTGACAACCGCACCTGACAACTTGAAAAATGAAATAAATAAATAAAAACAACCCGATCGGTCAACACAGTACACGCATACAACCTTCCGATACTCTACGACGACGAAAAGCCACCTTTCAAGAAAAAGCTGTGTAAAGAATTAGAATCTGATGCTGTAGGGAGATCCTAGTTGCCTTTGTGTATATCAACTGCCTGCTTGAGTGTTTTTGTGTGTGGAAATTTTCTCTGTAATCTTGTAGAACTGTTCGGGGTGTTTTTCCTGCCATACTGCTCGCCCCAAGCGGTTATATTGCTGTGTATACCTTCATTTTTGATGAGGTGTTTTACAATTTCATTTCACTTTGTGTAGTGATTCATTCTGTGGAGTTTCTGACTGTTGTTATATAACTTCATATACACAAATGTTCAATAAAAATGTTTTATTTCCTGTTGATACAGAACCTTCTCAAGAGCCTTTTTTGTCTTAAATGACCTTCATTCTGCTTTTGAATCTTCAAAACCGCATGAAACGAGTAAAAATGTACCATGGTAGCCGTAGTTTCTATCTGAATACCTTGGTAACATTGTATTGTTCTTAGTACAATAAAGTGCAGCATGGAACGAACAAATAAATGGAATAAAGTAAAATAACAATGATTCTTAGTTCCAAGAAGAGCCCATATTTAATAATGAATAAATCAGGGTTCCCACAGTCATGAAAAAAAAATGAAATTATGGAAATTTTATGTTGGCCTTTTCAGGAATATTGAATTTTTAGCCCTAAAATATTGATTTAATCAGCTAGAAATTGCTCTAAGTGGAATTTAATTATTTTTAAAAAATCCTTATCCTGCAGTCATGAATTTCATTGAAATTCACTTGTAGAAACTGTTGCCATTGTAATTATTATTATTATTTTTTTTTTGTAAAGAAATGCCCCAGTTGTGTCTATAGCTGAGAAATAATAAATGTTGTTAGACATAACAAATGACAGCAGAGGGTGGAGGTTGTCACATCGATAAATGCCCATGACCTACTCAGCAAGGTCAGCTTTTGGCGTTCTGGTGGTCAGATTTTCATCCCAGGCTGGAAAAGGAGATTTGAATTCACATTATAAATGTTGAAATAGTAAGCCAAGCGTAATAGCATTTTCTCTGGATTTTATATGTTGATAATGGGTCAAAAGTGATTTATATAGGGATTATAACAGTGAACTATGAAAATGTCTGAATCTTGAGGGTCGAGTGTGAAATATCAAAGGTGAAACAACATTTCTGTGTCTTTAGTTCAATATCTTCCTGATAATTTTCAGGCTTACTGAGTGTGAAGAAGCCCACATAGGTATCCTGATAATGAAATATGGCCTCCTTCAAGAAAAAGATAAGAGCAGGGCTGCGTGGGGGTCTCAGGGCTATCAGCTCCACAGGATCAAATGCATTTCTGTATACAAGACTTTGACCATCTCGCACCATTACGTACATATTACTCGGCCGCTTTATCTCTGCGTAGATCTTCAAGGTCTGCTTAAGAGCAATGAATATGAGATGAGGCCCGTCTCTGAGCGCCTTCTCACTATCAAACTCAAGCATGAGTGCTAAATTTAGTCATGATCTGAAGGTACAAATCCTCCCAGTGAAAAACCTCATGTTACTTTTCTGTCACTATAAGCAGATATTCACACTGAGCAGATATCCCTGATGTGGTTATGAAAGTATCATACATTTTATAAGTTAACTTCATCTGTTCATTCAATTTCTACAATCACAGATAATGTGTCAGGTTTGTTATGCAGTCTTTAAACATTAATAAAGTGGCGTGACAATGACATCTTTTGTGACCCTGAGTCAAGAAGGATGGTCTCATTATTGTTCATTTCAACTGCAGTTGCTTGGCAGGTTCCTGGCTAGAACTTTTCTTTTTACCTATATGTTCAAAACAGTCCACAAATTAAAACAATACTAAATATGGAAACCAGGGGGCCTGGGCCTACTAGGGGGCCTCATTAAATTTCAAAGTGGACCTTAAGGTAAATTAAAATTATTTGTAATAAAAATGAGAGGGGTTAAAATAATCTAAAATCCCTCAACAAATAAATGGATAAAATATTATAACTCCATTTTAGGCATTTTGTGAATATACTTTTTTTTTGTAGGCATGCCAAGGTCTAAAATATTCGATCAGGTAGAAATTGTTTTTAAAGTGGTCCTATTATGCTCTTTTACAAAGTCTTGATTTTAAAATATGCGTTGTAGTCCAAACGAGTCGTTCGTTGTAGTTTTTGAAAAGTGATTTCTATTAAATAAAATATCTCCTTTTGAACTGGACTTTGAGATTTGCAACTTTGCAGATCTTTTTTATGCTCAAACAGCAACATTACAGACTAACTAAAGTTGAAAAAGTGAAAAAGCATAATAGGACCCCTTTAAAGTCCTTTCCTATCCAGTAAATGACGAACAGTTGGAGAAGTCATGACCAACAGAGGGCGCTACTCGCTATTGCAGCTTCGAGTCGCGTTATTATGCGTCTTCTTCTACTTTTACTTGCTCGCTCTAGTTTTGTCAACGAGAACGACCACGAGAGTGGCATCTTCGTGTCATCAGCTTCAAAGTAAGACACAAAATAACACATGAAGTCCCAATGCATGTAAGCTAATACACACTGCGACGGGCCGGTTTTCGTCGCTTTCCACACAGGTGAACAGAGGAAGCGCTCGGGATTTAACGTCACATGTGCGTCTGTGCGTAAACATTTCACAAGGTCAAAATTGCAGCGTTGATGCGACAAGAATGCGCTCGTCAATACTCAAACCCCTTCTTGAGACCCAGCTTTTCTATTCCATGCCGTTTTTGCACAAAAAACTGGTCCTGTATGGGCGCCTGGATGTGAGGTAACTTATGAACACTCGTGCGGACGCCTGGTAACCTTCCTTCCGTGAAGGAAAGTCGTTTAGCTTAATAAACGGTTCATGAATATATATTTATGAATAGATGAACACGTCCTCCTGATAGTAAAACGTCTTTTTTCACCAAGCTGCTTCTACATATTCCTTTTAATCTTCACCCTACGTAAGACCTTTTATAAACTACAGCATACATTAGACAGTCTCTGTTTATAAGTACGAGGTAGGCCTAATGTATGTGTTGTGTTTGGGGTTATGCTAATAATGAGTTATAGATATTATGTTATGTTAATATATGAATAAGGTGAGGGCTGATGTTAAACGTTTTTTGTTTTATTAATCATAGATATTAACATTGGTCATTCCAATGACACACTAACTAATAGTTGTCATTTCAGTGATACATTTATGTCAAAATATCTCGTCCAGTTTATTTGGATTGAGGGTTTGACTTGAAACAAATTGAATGTTTGAGGGTCCACTTGTGCCTTTTACCAGCTTATGAGTGTGTGTCGTGAGTGGAAGTGTATGAAATGTTGTTACTAAACAAACCTGTGTGTGTGTGTGAAGCTGGGAAATGATAGTCAATGAAGGTCATGGGCATGATGTGTGTAAACATGACTACAGATGATAGCAGTCTGGTTGTTGTTAAGTCTGACGTCACGCGTCTCTGGGTCCAAATGCTCCTGTAGATCCCTAAAGCAAACAAGAAGCAGTGCTAATAAAGTCGGTAAGTACTGCTAAAAATCCATTATCCTAACCTTTATCTCCAAACCAAAATCTCAGTTGGCCAGACTGATTCATCTTTTCTAAAATGTAAAAAAAAAAAATTGGTATCTGGGACACTGTGCCCAAAGACTGTAGTGTGCACGGCAAGTTTTTAAAAGCTTAGCTGTAAAGTGTGCTAGACATGACTAGTGTTCATAAATGGCTGTTGCAATAGTATTCTCAACTGAAATGGAGTGGAGGCTTGGACCTGGAAACAGTATTTGATACATCACGACTTAACAAGCGGATAAGGGATTGTGATTACTCTGGGAATCTGGCCATGACCGCTGGTCTCCCCTTGTCAAATCAGTGGAAGCAGGAAACACAATAGTATACTGATTGCTACTCAATAGTATACTGCATGCAATTGAGAAAATGTCTCCACAAAAGTAGTG